GAGAGTATTTACCCGCATCCTCCCATCATCCATTCCTTAGTGCTTCGTCTTGTTTCTTTCCCTCGCCCACCCCTCCCCCAGGCCCAATCACACTGTTCACTCCATCCCTGAGAGTATTTACCCGCATCCTCCCATCATCCATTCCTTAGTGCTTCGTCTTCTGTTTCTTTCTCTGAAGAACTCTCTTCTACCATCCTCGGCAGTGGCCCCTTCCTTGGAACTGAAAAGAGAGCGATAGTAAAGGATTAACTCACACTGAGTTATTACTAGACATGTTGATAAAGACAGTATAATACGGAGCATTCAATATCAGCCTCCAACTAGCTGTTTAATAAACTGCAAACAGATGGTATTTTTTGAAAAAGAATAAATATAACAAAGGAAGTCCCAAGGATAGTGTTTTAAAATCTCAAGCTTAAGTTTTGTCCTTCCAGTGGAAATATAAGGTTGATCTACCCAGGCTTATGTACTCAGTGAAATATGTTCTTTGGATGACAAAGACTGGCTGTCAAACAACTAGCTTGTTTATATCATACATCAATTATGGTTTTATAACCAACCAATTCAGTACAAAAATCGATCGATTTTCTTCTACTTTATCAACTATTTTTATTGAAAATCAGCTCTAAAATATTCACTGACAAAATCAATAGAAGAAATATAAATTTTACAAGAATATTCTACGAGGAAACGTAGTACTTACTTTACGGTCATAATTCTTGCTTTCTTGTCAAAAAGACAAACAGCACCTGTTACATATTAACTGTCTGCTTCTTCCTTTGAGTTTTTGGATCAAAACAAACTCGAAAAAGGTTAGTATCTGAACTAGACTTCAAGCCGAACTTCGTTCATCCCAACAACCAGCATTAACGAAGATGGCAGAACTCGGGTTTTGAGTTTTTCCAAGTGAAAGTCAACTTTGGCAGACTGTGCGACTTAGTAACCTAAGGAGGCTTGTTTCTCATTGGACAAGTATAATCAACGCACGCATCGATAACAGAAGGGTTTTGATAATGTAGTAAAGCCATCTAATCTATCCACTGGGCCCGTTTGTACGAAGGGTTGATAGCGCTATCCGTCGGATAAGTCCTTATCCAGGGCATAAGTGGATAGGATTTATCCGTCGGATAGCGCTATCCAGTGAGGCTTCGTACAACCGGGCCCTAATCTAGTCTTATTAACGAACAGATACTCAAGACAAGGAAAGTTCTTATAAATCTTTTAGAAAATGGAAATATTTAATGCAATACATCAGAGCAAATTTGAAAACAATATAATAATAAATACATTGGTTTATTTTACCCAGACCCTTTTTTGGTGGAATCTTCACTTCTTGTCCCAGCTGTTTGTCGGAATAAGAAGATTAAAGGATTGAAAGGAAATTTAATCGAAGTTAAATAAGGAAAAAAAGATCTTTAAACCCCGCAAATGCTGCTGTAACTTGGTTTTCGCGCTTAAAATTGGGTAGTTAACATGGTTACATTTAAGCCTTGGTTTGCAATCGCGACGGAGTCGGAAAATGGAGTCGGAAGCGCGTCGGAGTCGGAAGCGCGTCGGATTGGAAGACTTCCTTTTGCGCATGCTTGACTTGCGATTACGCTTATGACGAGCAGTTTCCACTTGCGATTATATGTATGAACTGCTTCCCGACTCTGTTTCCAAGTCCGTCTTTTGTCGCAATCGAAAAGAAGGATTAATCGTCCTTTTATGAGACTTGTTTAAATTAACGCCCTCATAATAACTATCATTTTAAATTGAAGTTTAGCTTACTTTGTTCAAAAAAAAGTTTATTTCAGTCAGTTAAGTATCTTCTATTATTCTGTTTTCTAACTTTTAGATAGAAAGTGAGATAGTTAAAAAGTGGAATTCTGAAATGTCTCTTTTAATCGGGTTGATCATGAATACTAATGGTATAAGCACACATTACAGATCGCATGCACAACCTCTTCGCTACCAACTCAAATCATTCTCCTTCGTTTTATAGTTGTTCGAAGGTTGAGGAAAAAAGGAACCTCTAAATACGAACACCGATTACTCGTCTCGACTGCACCCGATCATGAACATACCTCTATAATACGAACATTGTTCCGTTACTTCAGGGGTCGTATTACAGGGGTTTGACTTTTGAAGTTATAAACAGACCTCTATAATACGAACMCTGTTCCGTTACTTTGGTGGTCGTATTAGAAGGGCTTGACTTTTGAAGCTATAAACAGACCTCTATAATACGAACACTGTTCCTTTACTTAGGTGGTCGTATTAGAAGGGCTTGACTTTTGAAGCTATAAACATACCTCTATAATACGAACACTGTTCCGTTACTTCAGTGGTCGTATTAGAAGGGCTTGACTTTTRAAGCTATAATCAGACCTCTATAATACGAACATTGTTCCGTTACTTCGGTGGTCGTATTAGAAGGGCTTGACTTTTGAAGCTATAAACAGACCTCTATAATACGAA